AAATTAAGGGCACGTTTGGCAAGTTACCAAATAGTAACTATTTATGTTCTTTTGTTCCCAGAATCAGTTTTGGAATAAAAATTCATTTGGCAAATTTTTTATTCCCGATCACAAATTTGCAAAAATTTGTTCACAGAATCAATTTTGGAACAAAATCAAGAAGCAAAAAAAAGTAGCTTCTTGATTATGAGAACATGCATCAGAAATGAAATTTTTTTTTTCTTCTTTCTTCTTGGTTTCTTCTTCTTCTTCATTCTTGGCTTGCCACCGGTCGCCAGCAACCGGCCACAGGCCAAGGTCGGCGAGGGCGTCGCGGCCCTTGTCGGCGACAGCGAGGGTGAGGGCTAGACCCTCGCCGCCTAACCCTCGCCGCCGCCCTCGCTAGATTTGGCGAGGGCAGCTCGCCGCCTGGGCGAGGGTCGCCCTCGCCGGATCTGGCGAGGGTGGCGGCGGTGAGGGTCCAGCCCTCGCTATCGTCGGCGAGGGCCACGACGCCCTTGTCGGCCATGGCTGAGGAAGGGAAAGGGGAAGAAAAAGAAAGAAAGAAATATAAAAAAATTTCAAAATGTTATTAATAAAAAGAAATTTTATGCAGTTTCCAAATCCATTTCTATTCTTTTTTTATTCCAAGAATAGAAATTTTAGGCAGTTACCAAATACCTTCAAATGCTTAGAAATTTTTCCCGGGCACGAAATAAAAAGGAATCATTTTTTAGCAGAATTAATTTTTGGAAACAGAATGGTTGCCAAACGCACCCTAAGTGAAAGATTTTTATTTTGCACTCTTTTTTAGTCACAGGAACACCGATTTATTAATAATCGAAATAGATCGGAGTCACTAATTTGCGATATCATTTCTTATTGCAATCTGTGTTTAATATAATGTGAAAGAAAGAAAACTCTGCATCACTTTTAATCAAAAGTAACATGATATGATCAATGGTACAATAATAGCAACTTGTATGCTTGGATTGGCCCATCAAGGAGACTTTTAAAATGAATTTGCTTTTAGAGATATAATCAACATCTTTCCAGCATTTACGTCACCGACCCTCGCCTTGTGGGACCTCTCCCCATCACATCTAGTCTAATTCATAACATCGTCATCTTCTTTTTTCTAATATAAATGAAACACATCATCCATAAAAAAATTCATCAAATAATAGATATCGAAAGATATGATTTTTTTTTCTATTCAAAACAAAGAAATTGAACATTAGTTAATGATTAATACTCATGACAAGTTGAATTCCAACAATGGTAGCTACAAACATTATCAACAAAGCACGTTAATATGCGGGTAACACTTAAGAATGAAATCTCATTATTAAAAAATGAAACCAATAATGAGCTCAAACAGACTATAAGTAAATGAACCTAAATTTTGAAAAATAATCTTAGTGACGTGAGACCCTTATGGTAAGTCTCAAAGGAGATCGCGGTTGCTGGTCGGTCCTCCCCATTTTTTTAATTAATAATTAAAAAGAAACCTTAAAGCTAAGTTAGATGTGAAAAAATGAGCATGTTTTTAGGTTCGAAAACCCAAAAATAAGCAAACTTAAATAAAATTACGAATTATCACGACCTTCGTTCCTAATTAAACTCCTATTTGTTGTGAGCCTACCTATTGCAATTTAATCTTGTGATCAATCCAAATCACATTAAAAGCTCTTCCTAACTCCTGCTTTCACTTCAGGATCATCTACTTGAAATTTAATAGCTCTTCCTTTCCCAAGTGGAAAATGTTTGCCTTTTGGACTCATTTTCCATGGCCAGATAAAGCTACTTTCGAGCGGATCCCGCGATTCGCTTGTTTCTTAACAGGGAGACTTAGGCAGTGGCTGTCCTTACAAGCTTTAAGAGAGCTAAATGCAAACCAAACAATAATTTCAAATAAAGCTGATGATGACCATCATCCTCCACCTTGTAATCGTTGATCTGACGTGAGCAAAAGCTCATCATGATCCCTATAATTTGTGACCACCAATTTTCTTTTTGATTGCGAAATGAAGAAGGAAATTACCATTTTCTCTCATTGTGTCTTTATCACAATGTTTATGGCTGAGGATCGAGATTCTCGAATAGGAGCTGCTTAAGTACTCGATCGAGCTGTCAATTGTACGGAGCTTAATGAGGGAGCATGATTTGAAAGAGAGATACGTAGCTCAATTTAACTTTTTTGACCTTTTCTCCTTTGAAATTTCCTCCAATTTTTGCAATTCTTGTTGCGCAGGAAAAAGGCGTGGAAAGTGGAGGGGGAAAAAAACAAAAAATTTCAACGTGAATTGATGTCGGGTAGGAAAAATCTAGCGTGTCTGGAAAGTACAGTATATGATTCCCCAACATGATCTCTACCACGAGCCTATCCAAAATAAAGGGTGATGGCTCAACACAGTGATCGTGGTATCGAGGAAGAGGAACCCTTTTGGGTAGGCATGAAACATTGTCCTCCCCTTGGACATATAGTTGTGAAATTATATATGTTCAACGTAGTTTAATCATTCATTAAGAGTACATCTTTTGGCCATACATCTCTTTATTAGCTCGGTTGATCTTGAGATGAATCCGTGAGCTAAACAATCTTCTTAATGCGATGCACCCAATTGCTGCTAGATTGATGTTTGGCATTAGAGATTTTTCTGCTCGAACATCTCTCGATTAGCTATGTTGATCCTGAGATCAATCCGTGAACTAAACAATCGTTTTGATGTGAATGCACCCCATTGATAGATTGATGTTTGGCATTAGAGTTTTTTCCACTAGTGTTTTTAAACTGTCCATATATAACTTGCTAAAACAATATGATCGTGGATATGAATGACATGTAAGAAATCAATTGTTGTATAACATGTGTACATAAAAATGTAAAGTCATCAGCTAGGAGCACTTGGAAAATTACCGTTTTGCGTCAGGACAGGCAAATTACAGCGTAGTGAGAATTAGCCAAGAATTCGAAATTTTGCAGACACTTCATTTTGAGAGCGAAAGATGCAAAGTTAATTATATGTTGAAGGCCTGTAGCCAACACCACAACCAAGTAACCCCAACCAACCGAGAAAATACTTAGTGGTTTCTTCCCACCACGTCATTACCCTACATGGCATGGATTTTTTTGCTCTTATCCAATTACTACTTGACATATATATGTGATGTGGAATCAAATGAAACAAAAATTTAAAAAAATTTTCTGTTGTGCACTTTCAACATTTAGGATCTCGTCCTCACCTATTGCAGCCATGTACGAGGCTTTGCTTGAGATTTGGAAGTTCGCCATCTCGATCTCTAGCCTTCATATCTAGAAGTTCGCCATGGCCGAGCTTCCACTCGAATCACATCTTGTGCTTTCTCTTAAGGTCACTATCGAATTCCTTGACGGTCACAGTTTGCTATTGCGGGTTTAGGGTGAGCTTCTTGCTTAGGAAGATAAAGCCAAATAAAGGAAGATGAAGCCGCCAAAGACTAAGAGAAGCACAAAGGAAGACAAAGACGAGGTCGAAGACAACACATAGAGGAATAAAAAAAATTCAGTAGTGTGAGTATTTCTTGGTAGAACCTTCTGTTTTTTGTCTCTTTAGTTGATTTCAGTTGCTAAATGCTTTAGTAGAACCTTTAGCAGCGAACTTCTTTGGTTCTTTGATGGGCATTGTATGAGTATCCTTTTTTTTTGGTATGTTTTACTCTAACTCTTAACTTATACTCAAACTTTTGCTCGGCCTGTTTGCAGAGCGTTGGAGTCGAAACCCACATCTGAAACTAAACGTTCCCACCCCTAGCCCCCCTGAGAATGTGGGGAATCGAACTTCCCACCCCCTGTTCTCAAGTAGGAAGGGTGGCCATTGGGACAAACCCCAGTGGTTGAGTATCCTTTTGTTAGTTACAAGGTTTTGTTCTTGATTGCTTTGAAATTGCCATAGTCTATGCAGCTTTTAGCTTGGTGAAATTTGGGTGTGCTTATCTGTTATTAGTGACATTGGGATTGTAATTCAAGCTCCAGGTACTGTTTGTTGAAGTTGTCTATGAATAGTGTTAACGGCGGCCATGGAGGACGGCCAAGAAAAGTGGGTCAAGAAGGAAGAAGAGAAAAATCAAACTTTTACTTTTTTTTATTCCAATTCAGTAAACACATGCCGAACCTACTATTGAAAATGAGAAAAAAATGACGCTCAGTAACTACCGAATATTTTCCTACCTATGTTTTTTTTTTGGTCAAAATTTTCCTACCCATGTCACTTGTGCCATCGTTTGGAAGATTATTGGGCTTTGAAGGCCCAGTTTAGCTAGTCCGAAAAGATGGACTCTGTAACTTGTCCCATCACTTTTTCTATGTAGAATTGGTCTCAGCTTTGACACTTCGAGATGAGATAAAAAGTCAAATTAGCGTGCATACATTTAAAAAAAAAACATAAAAAAAACTAAGGTATCCCTTAGGGGTGAGCGTGTGGGCGGTTCCCAATATAGAATGGGAACCGCCCACTTCCGAAAAATTAGAATCGGGAACCGTCCGTTGGTTTCATAGATCCACCCGGGAACCGGACCGCCGGTCTGATCAGATTTCCGGGTGGGTCTATGGAATCAGTCCCATTAAGTTTCATGTAAATGGAGGTGAGAACCGGTTCCACTAAGTTTTCGGGCGGTTCCCGATTTCTTTACACATCCCTAATGTCCCTAACATCTATCCTCACCCTTAATGATAACTCAAAACCAAATTGTCATCTTATCTTTTTGGTATTTGTCAATTTGGTCTAACTTTTTTTGTTAGCTCTGACCTTATTCAACTATTTGAATGTCCCAACAAGGAAAAATAGACATTGAAATTGAGGATCTCATTTGTGTTACATTTACGTTCGTGTGACTATGATCTCCAACAATCTAACTTACGTTCCTATTTTACGTGAATCTGTTTTATACTTCTTATATAGCCCGTGTAACCAAGCTGTCGGGTATCTCAGTCGTGTCCAAGGAATGTGAGTCATTTCCGATGCAATGCAAAAGCATGAAAATTAAACATAATATGTCATGAATAAAAAGTCTCACGTAAATAAAAATTCCGAGGTAAATATGTAGGACTAGATTGCAAAGTTTTTAAAGTTTAGGGTTGTGCACATAGGCTGGCTCGAGCTTCCACGAGAGGTTGTGGCCTCGCCGGTGGAGCTGCAGGTTCTGGTCCTTCTTGAAGCCCATCTTGCATATTTCGCACGTGAAAGGCTTCGTCGCCATGAGCGTTTCTGGGGATAGAGCAATGACTTCCGCGCTTGGGTCTGCATTCAATTCTGGAAACACATCCATTCAAGAAAGCAGTAGAATCAAATCTTCAATATCTTGTAATGTTGATGGGTTTCATGGGGATTATGTTGCATGTTAATGCATTTTGAAATAGGGCCATTGTTGAACATGGCCTAATTGCTTTTACTGCTATATGATTCAAATCTCTTTTTGTAGGATTTGCTGCTGATTGGACAAGTGTGACCAGGGAAAAGGCGAAAAAGGTGTTATGATGCCAATTATGTTCATGCTTAGTGGTCGTCCACTCACATATTTTTATCGAGTTATTGAATTTTTTATTTAATTTTTGCTAAAGTTTTCGTAATTGTCACTGAGCAGATGGTAAGTGTTATCACATTCTAGCTAAAAAATATAGTATTATTACATTTTATGTCCAAGGTTTCATGTGCCTGGCTCAAATATAAAACTCGGGTCACAGCTAAAAATCAAAGTAAGTCGATTTTTATTGGCTCAAGTAATAATTATTAAAAACTATAGTCACAATGATAAAAAAAAACTTAAACCAGTTTTATACATATATGTCCACAAATTAGTATTTACATATAATTATTCCATTGACAGAAAAATTGATTACTTAGGTGATACAGCTAGAAATAAAACAAAGATAAACTTCCTCCTCCACGACTTTCACTCACCAATAATTCTTTCATTTCTGGCACCCATTTTAGCTATGGAGGAGCTAATAAAGTTATCCTAAGAAAAGAAATATTTTATGAATTAAGGGCCTCTAATTTTATTTTGGATTGCCTTTAGTTCCATCCCTCTTGTGAGTACAAGTGGACTGCCTGCATGTGGGGTTTAAGTGGAAACTCAAATTAGAGTCTGTTTGTTTGAAGAAAAATTATTTTTAGAAAATTATTTTCTGATTTTCTAGTGTTTAGATAGTGAAAATTAATCGATTTGTGGAAGACGTTTTCCGTGAAGTGAAAAATAACAAGTTTAGATTGAGAGAAAACGACTTCTTTTTCTGATAAGAAGAAAATCATTTTATTTAAACTATAAAATAAATGAATACTAACCATTTTCCTTGAAAAATATTTTCATGAAAAATATTTTCTTTTATCATGAAGTTTTGAGTTTAACGTAGGCACCCTTCGCGTGCAAGATACGCAAGATAAAGTTGAAGTTCTTGATTTAAGCATGAGATATAACATTCAGTTTAATCAGCTCAACCCGAGAACAAGCATACTCTAATCAACAAGAGTTAGATCATTCATTGCTAGCTAGCTACAAAGCTATGTCACTATTCTTCTTCAAGAAGAAAAGAGCAAGTTCAACATCAATGGTCCAAGGCAAAAGATCTATCTAATAAATCTGAAAATGAATAATTTCAACTGCATGAGAAAAAACATTGATTTAATAACAAAAATATCTATTGGGTTTTAACTGGATTTCATGGGAAACTTCTTTTCTCCTTACCTTGTGGAGCTTGCTGTTGTTGCCTCTCAACTTGTGTACTTGCGGAGAGACGATCGTTATTAGCTGAAGCTGATGATACTACTGGATTATTAGCACCAAAGAAGTGATTCAGAAGCTCCGGTGGTTGAACTTCAGCTTCACCAGCATTACCTGAAGAGAAGCTCCCATCTTCACCTATGATATTTGACATCTTGAAGAAGACAAAAGATGAAAAAGGGTGGCCAAAGAAAAGATGAAATTTGCTTATTTCAGTGATTTTTCTTTTCTCTCTCTCTACCTCCAGCTCTCCTGGTTTCTCTCTCTCTCTCTCTCTCTCTCTCTCTCTCTCGCTTTTCTTTTTTTTTTCCTGCTCCACCTGGTTCTATCTTGTTCTCATCTCTCAAGGTAGTGATTCTCACAAAAATGAAAGAAAGAGTGGAAAAAGATAAAATGGAGAATTAAAACGAAGAAATCAGGGGATTTGCTGCGACTACAGGAAGACAAAAACCAGTAAATCCACCTTCTTTTCTGGAGGAGGAGATGAGAGCTGTTTGATTGCTTGGCACAGGAAGAACACAACAAGGAGTTTCTTCAACTCAGTAACATTTAAATATATCATGTCGGGGGACTGCTGCATGTTGTATCCCCTTTTGCGAAACTTCTAGCTTATTGTGAATTGATTCTCTCATTTCTACTAGCAAACAGGGCACACACATGCAAGTGTGTGAGAAAAAAAAATGTTAAAAATGGAGAAAGTGTGATCTTGGATATTTAAAAAAAAAATGAATGTAGGTTATTGTAGAGTGTGAAATATTTAGTTGGACAAAAGCCACCAAAAACTCTAAACTATACTCACTATGACACATAAACCCTAAATTTTTTTCTGTGACATAAAATTTTCAAACTTGTACCTGTGTGACGCATTTACCCTTCGTCAAAGGTTTGTCAATGAAAACCGTTAAAAATCTGTCTCTACGGAAAGTAAACAATGTTGACATAACGCCCACATGGCTTAAGTGAAATAAAAATGCCATTGTTTTGGTTGAAAAATCATCTAATGGAATATTGACAGAGGGTAAATGTATCACATAGATACAAGTTTAGTTGAAAAACCATCTAATGAAAAATCATTAAAGTTGTTTAGGGTTTGAGTGATTGGAGTACATGACTTTGGGAAACTTAATTTTTTCTCTTATACCAAAAAAAAGAAAAAGAAGATAGAGAAACTTGCAATTTCTTGAACTAGATTGAGTTAATTATATTCATACAGTATATATGCAGCATATTCTTGGGGACTACTTAAGAAGAATGAGGCCAATACGTTAACTCCAAGAAAAGACACTGAAGCTTGGAATCATCAAACGGACAGTTACCTCGGAAAACCAGTCAAGCAGTAACCAAAACGGAGAGCTACCAACACATTTTGTAATCTTATTTTTACCGTCCAATGTCTCACATATTTAATTTTTCCTGACGAAGAAATCCTAACTATTATCGACCGCGTTTGACCAATATGACAAAGAAAATGTTACGCCAAATTAGTGAAAAATTAGAAAGATCTCTTGGGTTCTCTTGGAGCACACAACCTCTCATCCATCCAAACCAATCTTCGATGTTATCGGTTTGCACTATATCATACCACAAGAAACCCTAAGCAACAGCAGAATTTCTATGGGGGGATGATAATGAATCCAGAAAAGGAATATTTCCATTTTCAATGAAGCCAAAAAGCACGGAAAAATTGTCAAATCAGTCCTAAACCTATTGTACGGCGGCCAATTCAGTCCTAAACCTTTTAATTTTGCCAATTAAGTCCTAAACCTTTTTAATTCTTTCCAATTCACTCCTGCCGGTCAATTTTGGCCGGTCGGTGCTGACGTGGCCACCGGTCGTCCGGTCAAAGCTGACGTGGCAATTTTTAATTATTTTTTTAATTTTTTAATCTTTTTTTTTTTAATTTTTTCTGTTTTTCTTCTTTTTTTTCTGCTTTCTCCCCTCTGGCTGGTCCGGCGACCGGTGGCTAGCCAGAGGGGAGGGCCGGCGAGGCCTCTGGCAAAGCTCGCCCCGCCGGCCATCGGCGAGGGTGAGCCTTGCCGGCCCCTGGCTGGGCGAGGCGAGGTCAGCCTTGCCTCGCCTCGCCTCGCCATCGCCGCCGGTCGCCGAACCGGCCATTGGGGAGAAAGCAAAAAAAAAAAATGAAAAAAATGAAAAAAAATGAAAAAAAATAATTAAAAATTGCCACGTCAGCGTTGACCGGACGACCGGCGTCGGCCGGCGGCCACGTCAGCACCGGCCGGCCAAAATTGACCGGAAGGACTGAATTGGCAAGAATTAAAAAGATTTAGGATTGAATTGGCAAAATTAAAAGGTTTAAAACTAAATTGGCCGCCGTACAATAGGTTTAGGATTGATTTGACAATTTTCCCCGAAAAGCACGGTGGCTCAAAGGGGAAGATGTTCCTTTCGGTACTTAACCATCAAACACCGCCACGCACAATGCAATATCCTCATAAATTGAAATTTTGCATCTTTTCTGGTCGGCGTTTGTGCGCACATTTTACACCTTCTCTGATTGTCAAGATTGTTGGTCTCTGCATTTCCTTTTCATTTACACATTAGTCCCTAGTATATAATAATGCTCTTATTGGTCAAATCTCTTTTTCTTAGTTAACACTGTAGAAAGAGAGAGCTAAAAAAAAATTATTCAGTAAGATTACCCAAAAACAAAAAATATTAGATGAAAGAGTGATTGTTCTCTCTCATAAACATGGCAAATCGGAGTTACTATTGTACTATATCATACCCTATTGCAATTTATGTAAAACTTAAGCTGTTATTTTACATAGAAAGACTGGAAGGCAAAATACATTTAAGGATACTGGATTAGAAGTAATAAAACTCATGCCTTTCAAATGATTCTACCTATGACCAAATATAATGCAAAAAAGGAAAATTCTACATCACTTTTAATCAAAAGCAATGTGATATGATGAATAGTATAATAATAGCAACTCGTAATCTTAGATTGGTCCATGAAGAGGAATTTGAAAATGAAGTCACGTTCATGAATATAATCAACATCTTTCAAGCATTTACATCACCAACCGTCCCCTTGTGGAGCTCTTCCCACCACATCTAAGTCTAATTCTTTTTCGTTTTTTCTTTTGCTAGGATAAGTCTAATTCAAAATATCGCCAATAAATAAGACGTCCCATCTATCAAAACATCATCAAATCATAGAAAAAAAGCTTTAATTTTTTAAATTCAAAACAAATAAATTGAACATTGCTTAATGATTAATAGCCACGATTAGTCGAATTTCAACAAGATAACTGTTTAGGAAATGGCAATGCCAGGCGGAAAAACTATTTTCTAGGAATTAAAATACGTAACACATTAATATGTGGGTAACACTTAGAGAATGAAATCTTGCAACTAAATAATTAAGTCCGCAAATGAGTCCAAACAAATTAAAAACGAGTCTAAACTTTAAAAATAATCTCAAAGATGAGGGACTATTATGATAATGATCAAAGAGGATAGTTAGAGTTGGTCGGGAATTATTAGTAGGGATGAGCAAAAGGAATTGCCCGGATCGAATCGGACCTGCTGGTTCTGAGCGGTTTCCGGGGGCATCGGTTTAGTTCCATAAAATTGAAACCGTTGAATTTCGCTTCAGTTCTTGGTTTTAGGTGTAGAACCACCCACCTAAACCACTAGGACCGAATAGATTTTTTTTAAAAAATCTGTAAAAAAAAATCCTAATCTATCTCTCATTTCACAAAGGAAGGCCCTTCAAGACTGGAGCATCTACGTTTACTTATGCACGTGAGAAAGATGACAATAACAAATTAAAATACAACAGTAGTTGCTCATTCCAAACAAATTTTGCACAAATTAAAAAAATTCTCTATAAAACCTACAATGTTATATATAAGTCACTGATTGTAGAAGCGCCTTGAAAATTATGGACAACTTCAACTTCATCTTGAACATTAATGACAAATAAAAAAAAGCCGAATATTGCATTGATTCCATTAGTCCACCCGGGAACCGGACCGATTGTAGGGGGTATCGATTCAGTTTCTGGTTTCAAAAATTGGGAACTGGTCCCTCTGGTCCGATTCTTGGTTCTTGGGCGAGAACTGACCATCCCTAATTGCCAGAGTTGTTCAGCCCTCCCCATCCTTTAAAAAAATAAACAAAAAATTCATAGCTAGATTGGGCAAAAGAGTATTTTTTTTAGGTTCAAAAACCTCATATAGTGAACGTAAATAAGATTTATGGATTATCAAATTCGGGTTCCTAATTAAACTCCCATTGTTGTGAACCTTCCTGTTCCAATTTTTTTTCTTTTCATTAATCCAAATCACTTTAAATCTCTTCCACCTGCTGCTTTCACTTCAGGATCATTTACTTGAAATATTGATCCTTAGTGACAATTGTTGTAATCATAACATAATAAAAAAATGGTAATTTTCTTTTTCATTTCATAATCCAAATCACTTTGAATATCTTCCAACTGCCGCTTTCACTTCAGGATCATATACTTGAACTCTATTAGTTTTATCTTTCCCAAGTAGAAATATTTGCCTGTTGGACTCTTCTCCATTGCCAAATAAAGCCACTTCTTAATAGGGTGACTTTTTCCGACCACAAAAAAAAAAATAGGGTGACTTTTTCCAACCAAAAAAAAAAAAATAGGGTGACTTTTAGGTACCGGTTCCCTCGAAAGTTTTAAGAGATAAAATAAAAATAAATAAATAGTAATTTCAAATAAAGCTGATGATGATTGTCAATCTCCACCTTATAATTATTGATTGAGGCAAGCAAGAGCTCATGATGATCCCCATAATCTGTCATTACCATTTTCTTTTTATTTCGAAATGAAAAAGAAAATTACCATCTTTTCATTATGTTTTATCACAATATTTGTCACTGAGGATCAAGATTCTCCAATTGGAGCTGCTTAAGTACTCGATCGAGGTATCAATCGTACGGACCTTCGTAAGGGGGCATGATTTGAAAGAGAGATGGGTAGCTCAATTGAACTTCTTGACCTTTCCTTCTTTGAAATTTCCTCCAAAATTTTGCAATTCTTTGGAAAAAAAGTGAGGAAAGTGGGGGAAAAATTTTCAACGTGAATTGATGTTTCATAGGCAATTCTAACGTGTCTCAAAAGTACATTATCCGAATCAGTAACATGATCTCTATCATGAGCCTATCCGAAACAAAGGGCGCTGGTTGAACACAATGATCATGGTGTAGTTGAGCCTTCGGCCAAGAAAGAGTAATGTGTAGTTACGACAATCGTCCTCTGCTTGTGCATATAGTTGCGAAAATAAATGATATTCAACATGTTGAAAACAACCGCGGAAAAACAAATACAGAACATAAAGATTTACGTGGTTCGATCACAAGGTGATCTACGTCCACAGACGAGACAAAACAAGATCCCACTAAAATCAAAGAGAGTACAGATTTTAGAAGTCGAAAAACGACTTAACAAAATCTCACGGCTCACAAATTTCTTACAAAACGAAAATCTCTCTATCAATGAAAAAACCCAGCCGTAGTATAAATAGTGCTCCCCAAAAAATTTCCTCGGGGGCTACGCCCCTGAACTCCTCAAAACATTTGTTCGCTTGCTCCGGGTTAGGCCTATTGGCCAAACCCTCCGCGTCACGAACTAAATCTCAATTTTTTTTCCACTTTTAGGTTGCACAAAAATATATGTCGAGTTGGGTGATGAACCGGACCAAGTACATAAAATTCAAGACATATTTAACACAACGTAAATTAATCGTTAGTTATTTTGGTCGGAATAATTCCTTTCATTTCCATAATAATAACATATTGAGAAAAAAGAATATGAGCTTTAGAACATACAGAATCCCTTAAGGTCTAAGGAGGTTACATATCCAATTACAAGGAAGAGCGCGAAACCTATGGGCTTTAACAAGCCAGTCCGCTCTCTGATTGGATTCTCGAGGGCAATGGTCTACTTGAATATTTTGGAAGTGGACTCTCAATTGGCTCGGTTGATCCTGAGATGAATGCGCGAACGAAACTATTGACTTAATCCGGATGCATCCGATTGCTAGATCTGACATTTGGTATTAGAGATTTTTCCCCTCGTGTTTTTCAACTGTCCGTGTATAACTTGCTAAAAACGATATGGTGGTCAATTTGAGTGGAGAAATTTGTCATGAATTCGAACAAACAAGAGACGTAGAGTTCATTGGATGATTGAAGGCTTGAAGCCAACCCAAAGTAAATCCCAGCCTACCCCATGTCACTTGTCCATCATTTGGAAGGTTATTTGGGCTTTGAAGGCCCAGTTTTGCTAGCATTAAAATAGATGGATCTGTGAGAGCCCGCACGTGATAGAAGGGAAGGTAGAGCCGAAATTGTACTACGATGCTGCCGGGCCGTAGAATTCTAGCCCTTTTCTCGTGCAGACCTATGGCCGCTGCGCTTTCAATATTAGTGAATTGGTGAATCGAATTGAACTTAGCTTTGACTCTTCGAGAGGGCATAAAAATGTCAATTAGTTTGCATACTTGAAAAATAAGAAAGAAACCTAAATTTTTTTTCTCTCGTACATATATCTACAAATATATTTATTTAGGTATTTGTCAATTCGGTCTATTTGACGCTGGGAAAAGTGTTATAAAAGTCCTAGATCTATTGTATTAGTGCCAATTTAGTTCTAAACATTTTTTTGGTGTCAATTCAGTCCTAAACCTTTTGTCTTTGTGCCAATTCAGTTTTTCTGGCTAATTTTGGCCGGATTTTGCTAACGTGGACACCGGTTAGTTTACATGGTATAGCGATGACACAGACAACTTTTACATATTTTAATATTTTATGAATTTTTTTAAATTTTTTTTTCCTTTATGTCTTTTTTTTTTCTTTCCCTTTTTTCTTCCTCTTGCCGGTCACTAGTTCGGCGAGCCCTGTCGGCCACTAGCGAGGCTCGCCCTCGCCAGCGACGGCGACGACGAGCCTTGCCCAACCGTGGCGAGGCTTGTTCGCAACCTTGCGGCCATTGACGACTCATCGCCAACGAGGCTTGACCCTCGCTAGATTCGGCGAGGGCGAGCCTCGCTAGCCCAGCGCGAGGCCACCCTAGCGACCATTCGACCTTGCCGGATGGCCGCGAGGGCGGCCTCGCGCTGGGCTGGCGAGGCTCGCCCTTGCCAGCCATGGGTGAGGCCCGACCTCACTAGATCTGGCGAGGTTGTGGCTTGGCCAGCCGCTAGCGAGGTTGAAGGCTGCGGGCCACTGGCGAGGGTGAGGCGAGCCTCAGCAGTGGCTGGGCGAGGTCGAGGCCGACGAGGGACCTAGCCGGCCCTGGCCTCCAGTCGGTTGCCGGACTGGTGATGGGTAGGAGGAAGAAGAAAGGGAAAGAAAAAAGGAAAAAAAGAAAAAAAATTTAAGAAAAAAAATTCAAAAATTTTTTTTTATTAAAAGTTATCTAGGTCATTGTTGGCGGTGCCATGTACGCTGCCTGGTGTCCACGTAAGCAAAATCCGACCAAAATTAGCCGGAAGGACTAAATTGACACAAAGACAAAATGTTTAAGATTGAATTGGTACAAAAAAAAAGTTTATGATTAAATTGGCACCGATGTAATAGGTTTAGGACTTTTCTAACACTTTTCGCATATGTTGTGAGCTCGACTTCATTTCGACAATTTAGATGTTTCAGCAAAAGAAAACCATTGGAATTGAGGATCTTACTCATGTGATAATCATTTTGGTGGGACTGTGATATGTAAAATCTAACTCACATTTCAATTTTATAAAGATTGGTTTTTGCCTTTTTACATAACCTATGTAACCACGTCGTTGCTTAACTTGGCCATATCCAAGAAACGCGAATTATCTTCAATGCAATGCAAAACCGTGAAAAGAATAAATTATTCATGCATCGTCGCGTGATTAGAAATTTTGGGGTAAATCACAAATTTCCAAATATCAAGAACTAAATTGTAAAATTTGATAAAATCCAGGGTTATAGGTGTAATTTTGAGATTACGTAGCTCTATTAAATGATATACACATATATATGGTTCCATACGATGACCTCTATAGTTAGGTGTACGGATTTTCATCCCTAACATTAGAATATTTTTTTTTGGTAAAATTAGGTCAGATCGCACTAAAACCGTGGCTGTCTTACATATCTTGACTATGGCAAAGTATTCACATGATCCAAAGAATCCAAAAAAAACTGGCCACTTTCCATTCCTTAAGCTTGGTCAACTCCTTGCATTTTACTCATAAGAGACCGGAATTAGCCCAAGATTTGGACAAGTTGACACAAAGTAATGTCATTGTTCAATGATTTTGTCCCTTTTCCTCTTCCCCTTTAGGACAAAAGCATTGGATCTCGAATAGTTTTCCCTTCCTTGACAAATCCTCACCTTGCAGCTGATTTTGCAGCAGGCAACCAATTCTAAAAGAGCCGGAGCGCACCGTTGAATCAAAGTAGCATCACCACACGAGCCCCCATGGGACATTAGATCTTTAAGTGAATTAACCATTTTCTCATGTCAAGCCGAATAGCTTACTAGCGTAGTTTCTTTTTCGTTTCAGTTAGAATTGTTCATTGTGTCGGACTAAGTTCGTCTTTACAAACTTATCGGAATCACGAGACTTCGCCGATGATCACGAGAGCAATCACGTCCTTGTGGTCGCGGTTGGCATTAAGGGACAAGTATATTTGTACGAGTTACGTGCATGCAACACAAATTAGACCATCCACACTAGCAAATGTAAACACTCACATGTTAGGCAACGGGAAAATTACCAATTCAGTCCTTAACCTATTGCATTTGTGCCAATTCAGTCCTAAACCTTTCAATTTGACCAATTCAGTCCTAAACTTTTTGCAAATCAGCCAATTCAGTCCTTTTGGCCGGCCGGCGCTGACGTGGCCGCTGGCCGATTGACGTGGCGCCGGTCGGTGTCCACGTGGTAATATTTTAATATTTTTTATTATTATTTTCGATTTTTTTTTCTTTTCCTTCTCCCCCCTGGCCAGTCCGACCAGGGGGGAGGCTCGCCGGCGAGGGCCCAGCTCCGGCGAGGCAAGCTGGGCCCTCGCCGCCGGTGGGCGAGTCGGAGCTCGCCCAGCTCGGGCGAGGACGGAGCTTGCCCAGCTAAGGCGAGCTCCGGCGAGGCGGAGCTCGCCCAGCCATGGCGATCTGGGCGAGCGGCGAGGGCCCAGCTCGCCATGGATGGGCGAGCTCCGCCCTCGCCCAGATCTGGCGAGGCCAAGGCGAGCTCCGCCTCGCCGGGCCGGGTGAGCTCCGCCTCGCCCGGATCCGGCGAGGCGGAGCTCGCCATGGCTAGGCGAGCTCCGCCTCGCCAGATTTGGGTGAGGCGGAGCTCGCCTTGGCTGGGCGAGCTCCGCCTTAGCCCAGCGGCGGCGAGGGCCCAGCTCACCTCGCCGGAGCTGGGCCCTCGTCGGCGAGCCCTCCCCCCTGGTCGGACTGGCTAGGGGGGAGAAGGAAAAGAAAAAAAAAAAGAAAAAAATTCGAAAATAATAATAAAAAATATTAAAATATTGCCACATGGACGCCGGCCGGCGCCACGTCAGCCGGCCGGCGGCCACGTCAGCCGGCCGGCGGCCACATCAGCGCCGGCCGGCCAAAAGGACTGAATTGGCTGATTTGCAAAAGGTTTAGGACTGAATTGGCACAAATGCAATAGGTTGAGGACTGAATTGGTAATTTTTCCATTAGGCAACTAGCTCGGTTTTAGCTTGCCTTACTTGGTCCACGAGCTCAACAGTAAATTCTTCATTTATCTACTTAAGTGGACTTTCTCGTCATATAAAAAGTTTACTTTTTCAAGGTATTTACTTGAATTTTGGCTCGGGTTTTACTTGGTTCATAAGCTTCATGACCTTATGATTTCCCAATCAATGGAGCGCCATCCTCATATCAATCTTTCCTTTTGTGTAACAAATAGTTGCTGTGTAGACTCACATTGGTGGGTTTTGGATTCTTTTTATTACAACTATTATTGTAGTTGGGGATTAAGTCATATGTGGATAACATTTGATGATGAAACAAACTAATCAATCAGAGTATAGTCTAGGGTTTATGTAATGGGTCTTATACGTAAAAAGATGAAAGGCAAAGCTTATACACCAGGCAAAGACTTTTCTTTCATTTTGAGAGATTTAATTTATAAGAAAAAGTTCAAATTAATCAAGTCAATTTTGTAACGTCGGAAACAAGCGTTGCGCAATACGAGCTGAGCTGATCCCCGGTTCTTGAAAACCAAACCAAAACATGACCCCATCACGCTACTCACCCTTCATGGTCAACGTTTCAACACATTAAAATAAGCATCGATCTCATAAAATTCATATTCTATTTCAGTAACTACACCTTCTTTCAATGGTTTCATCACGAGATTTGTGCCTACCATTAAATTCAACACGCTCATCTAGTCCCCTTAACGTTATTATTTTGTTTTCTTGCTTTAACGTATTCGCCATTTGCTCGATTTTTCCGCTCTCCGCTTCGCCAGGTCCATGAGATTAGTGAGATACTTATAGGCGCCTAAACTTATCCACGAAGTTTGAGCTTCTTAGTTATAAAGAAAATGAGTTGAAAAGATGACATGCTCATCTTGTTCCCTAATTCAGAAAGCAAGTTGCTCAACTTCACTTAAAAGTATTAACCTCCAAAGCATCTATAAGTGTAGTAAGATCTTGAGGTATAAGGCTTTCCAGCTCTAAGGATCGGAACCTCTGTGAAGTCTTTTAGGGTCAAATAGGGATGTCTTTGTGACACAAATATTGCAGAGACTTGGGAACTTTTTGATGAATCTTGTGGATCAAAAATCCAGAGAGAAGCCCAGAAAGCTGCATGCTTTTCCCATTGTCTGCTCATTTTCTCAACTGGGTATGTGTTTCTCAACAAGTTTGAGCTTCATCTTGTTCATTTTCCCCTCTTTTACTTCAACTGTAATCCCCTTTCTCCTTGATTATTGCTGAATGACTGGCTGGCTTTCAATGAGATCTCATGTCTTTCCATTCATTATCTTTAATGGACATAATTCTTACATTGTTTTCAAGCTAGACTTGACATAAGTTTGGTCCTAGAATTTTAGTGATGCGTAAATTACTTAGCTCAACTTCTAATGTCCTGGCATCTGATTCACTCATCAGGTGGAGCATATGAGTGAAACAAGTTGAAACTTCAGAGCCTGGGAAAACACAAATACTGCTTCGAGCAATCATGAAGAACAGTTGTCTTCCTAAATGTGGATTCAAAAGGGTAATGGCTTGGTTTCAGATCATGTTGGGCGGGCTTGTCATCTTCGTGAGCTTGCTGAGCCTCTTTAGCTTCTACAAGGCTGGGTTTTTCTTGCGCAATGAGGACATATGCCACCATTTCTACGGAATGAAGGATTTCCACGGCGGTTTCGACCTGAAAGCTCTCTCGGATAGAGTCGACGAAGTGCTCATTAAGTTGGACAGCTTGCAAGACAAGCTCGAATCCAAGGTGCAACAGATGGAGAAGAATAAAGATGCTTTGGCTAATTCTAACATTACAAAGATGGAGTACAAGAAGTACTTGGAAGATGAGGTGATTAGGCCTCTTTACAGTGCTCATATCGCTCTGAGACAGATCCGGCTACCAAAGAGCGAAGGGATAAGAAATAGTACTTTCAAGGAGGAGCCTTTGATCAACACGTTCATAATTGAGGAGATCCGGAAATACATAAGCCCAAAGGAGAACAGAGTAGGGAAGGTCAATATATATGGAAGCGAGAGAGTACACAACACGATCGGTCATGCTTGTGTGCTATACGAGAAGGAACTGGAGGAATATATGGACTATGACATTGGTTCTTACTGCAAGGATGACTGGAACATGGCGCAGAAGCTCATGATCCATGGCTGCGATCCTCTCCCACGTAGAAGGTGCTTGACCCGGGCCTCGAAGGTCTACCAAAAGCCGTACCCCATCAATGAGTCCTTGTGGAGAATGCCTGACCATAGAAACGTGAGGTGGAGTAATTACCGGTGCAGGAACTTTGAATGCCTATCTAGCAAGAACCCACAGCGTGGCTATTCTAAGTGCGCTGGCTGTTTTGAAATGGAGAAAGAGAAGCTGAAATGGGTCACTAACACCGCTCTTACGGCGGATTTTCTTATTAGTGACATCTTAGCAATTAAGCCCGGAGAAATACGGATTGGATTGGACTTTGGTGTTGGCACGGGAACTTTCGCTGCAAGAATGAGAGAAAATAATGTAACAATTATTACGACTGCGCTGAATCTCGGGGCTCCATTCAGTGAAATGATTGCCTTAAGGGGCCTGGTTCCTCTGTACATCACGCTGAACCAGAGGCTACCCTTTTTCGACAACACGATGGACTTGATTCACACGACAGGGTTCTTGGATGGGTGGATCGATCTAATGCTGATGGACTTCATAATGTTCGACTGGGATCGGGTGTTGAGGCCAGGAGGATTATTGTGGATCGATCGATTTTTTTGCAACAGAAAAGATCTGGATGACTACATGTACATGTTTCTGCAGTTCAGATACAAGAAACACAAATGGGCAATTTCTCCCAAGTCGGATGATGAGGTGTATCTTTCTGCAGTATTGGAGAAACCTCCAAGAGCTATATAAATTATATCTGTTGGTTAATTTACACTTTGATGGATCATAGATTTGATTCGCAAATCAAGATGTGTGAGTGCGTGCCCTCTTTTATTACCTATTTGAGTTTGCAAAGTCAGTACTGATTGTTGCAGGTGATGGCTTTGAAGGGAAATGTTAGCATATCTGAATTCTAACTTTCAAGAATGTCGCATGATGAGTGAACATGCATTTGCTATGCTTCTCTTTCTGCCCCTCTGAAGCTGATAATGATCATTTGAAGGTTATTTCCCCTCAACAATAGTATCTGATCAGCATATCGCTAAATTCTTTTAATTTTTCGTTGGCCGTAATTATAACCATCTATGAGTCTTTCGCTACACAATGTCACTATGAGTCTATGATTGCAATAAAATAATTTCTACTGCAAAACCCATCAAACATTCACCCGAGAACACAGATACTCGCATCTGTGAAGACAGTAACAAAGCCACCACTGACAATAACTACAGCAACTTGCTTACAGGTTTAGGTTTCATTCCTTCATCCCCTATTATCCTGTAACTTAGCCCCCACAAAGAAGGACAAGAAGCAACAGTGACATGGTGCCCATCTTCCCTTCAGCTTTAGTAGTCGAATAAGTTTGAACCTGAAACCATGTTGGAGAAAAGAGAAAGTATTTCACATAACTAGAAAAACTTCATTATGGGGAAACTGAGAATTAAAATCTGGGACATTAGAGCTTACCTTGAGCATTTGCCTTGGATTGCAGTGCAACCAGACTCCATTTCCTCTTTATCCCTAGCAAGTCCTTCAACAGTTGCTGTGAAACATTGTTTGCACGCTTGAACATTTCCTCACTGTCTGCTGCAAGTGTCGAAATTCACAAAAATAATGACTCGATCGGACACGAGGGTCCCCAATCGGTCTTTGAGAGTTACCTTGAATTTTCTTGATTGGGTATTTTATAATTATACCACCCCTTCCATTTTAGTCCATCTTTTCAAAATATAGTTAGATGGCAGTCTCTTAATGTTTTTTTTTTGTCGAGCACCTACAAAGAATGCACAACATAGAATCGCCCCAAAAGTAATTTTCATACAAGGGCAATTAATTCTATATTCCGATGCCTCATGTGTAACCAAAATTTCTTGAGATTTTGCTCTATATTGGATTTTATATGTTACTGATATATCAGATTTACTATGCTTGTAAATGTTGCAATCCCATACCTTCATGAGTTCTTGTTGGGAGACTGAACGTCAATGGAGTATAAAACCTCGGCTGCTTGCCTTAACATCTCAACATTTGCTTGTGGTACAGGAGTGCTTTGCCTCATTTTATATTCCTCAAGGAGTTCTTTGATTTCTCTTTTCTGCCAAGAACCGCGTATAATGTTCAAAAAAGAGGAGAAGGGTATTGTTGAGGCTCAAATGCTTCTTTAAAGTACTCTGCCTCATGTCACTTTGTAGGACACTTTTCATGTCAGCAGTGAACATATGACGGCCATATACCATCGCCCACTTATTTATCAGCTCAAATATTCCATGTAACCATCCATTACCCTGCAGGTTGTACTTCTCTAGCATGGTGTTCCAGGCCATTAGCCACTCTTCCTCTTCTTCATAATCATTTAAGCAAAGACTGAAATCTGATACAAATTGCCATGATGGATGAAATGCATAACTCAGATTTTCAGTTGCATTCTGATAGATTTTCCATGCACACAAGCGGTGACATGTTTCAGGGAATACATCTGCGATTGCACAGGCTATAGAAGCTGACTGGTCTGTGAGTATTGTCTCTGGCTTCCTTCCCAACATCGCAGCGAGAAAAGTCTGAAACAATCGCTTGAAGAATTCATCACTCTCATCATAGAGCAAAGCCGCACCAATTGTAATGAGTTGCCTGTGATGGTGTTAATCCCAACAAACTGGACAAAGGGTCAACTGTACTTATTTGCTCTATAAGTAGTGTCAAAGAAGACAACGTGTCCGAAGTACACATTGTCAACCATCGATCTAGAGTCTGCCCAAAAGATATTTATTAGGAAACCATCATCACCAAAATCTATCGAGTAATAGGGGGATGGATCCTCCGACTGAGCTTTCCGCAAGTAATCCGTTATAGCAGTGCTATCTCCCTTTCCCAATGCGATTCTGAAGTAGAAGTTCCATCACCAATGAAACACCTGATATAAGGCTTAATGTACCCTCTTACTTCAAGGATTTTCTTCGAAACAGAGGTGCAGTCCACCTTAGGTACAGTCGACCAAATACACTGATCATGAAGAAGATTTTACTTCACCCAAGCAACCCTTAGGTAAAATCGACCAAGTACACTGATCCTGAAGAAGATTTTGCTTCATCCAAGCAACCCAAAGAGAACCAGACTAGTGCAATACAGACCACAAACATTTAAGAATCTTAACATTGTCCCAAGGGATAAGTCTTCTTAGCCCGAGACCTCCCTCGCAATTACGTAGACAAACCTGGTCCCAAGCCACAAATGCTCATTTGGATTTTTCGGGCTTCCCTTTCCACAAAAATGCAATACGGTTGCTTAACTTTAGGGAAGCACATAGACTTAGCTCCGATAGTTAATGATGCTGTAAATCACTGATTTGAATAATTCTAATCTGCCAGCAAAACAAAGTTGCTTAGCAGTCCAAGAGGTAATTCAATCAGCAATTTTTTATACAAGAGGGTTACAGTCGTTATCACTTAGCCTTCCAAAGATGAGAAGGAAGCCAAAATATCTCACTGGTAGAGCACCCTTCTGAAGTCCACTTAGTAAAGTCAGTTCAGCCTGCTTATCTTCCTCATAACCTGCCAAGAGCATCTCAGTTTTTTGTGGATTAAGCTTCAAGCCAGACAACTCTTCGAAATCTTTGAAACAAAGCTAAAATCTCAAGAAGAGAAGCCTTTTCTCCTTTGAAAAAAATCATTAGATTATCTGCAAATACAAGATGGGTCAATGTAACCCCTGAACACTTACGATGATACTGCACTTTCCTTGAGCTATCAAGCATTTGCTAGCACAACTTCCATAGCTTTGACAAACAAATAAGGTGAAAGAGCATCACCTTGTCTCACGCCCTTCTCCACATTATAGAATCCCTCTAGACCACCATTTAATGAAAAAGAGTAATAAGGGGATGCAATACAAGCTAGCTCTTAGCCCATCAATGAATCTGTCAGGAATATCGATGATATTCAAAGCAGCAAATAAAATATCCCATTTGACAGAATCAAATGCTTTCATATTGTCAACTTTTATCATAGCTTTAGGAGAAGAATTAATCCTCTGGTAATTCATGGGCTGATAATACGTTGTCAGCTATAGATCTACCCTCAATAAACGCTGCTTGATTGAAGCTTATGAAATCTGGCAAAAACTTTTTAGTCTTTTTGCAATCAGTTTGGTAATGCACTTGTTTTTAGTATTGCAGCATGAAATAGGCCGAAACCGAGTCATGGAAGGGCCATTCTCAATCTTAGGCACAAGAATGATGGCAGTGGCATTCACTCTTTTAACAAGTTTGCCAGATGGAAAGAAATCCAATAAAGCATTGTCATCACTTACAGACCATAACACATTTTTCATTTCCAAAGCAAGTAACAGGCATGATCAAGTCATCCTGCTGCTGGTTTGACAGATGAAAGTAAGTGCACTCCCGAAGAACAAGTGGACAAGAACAGCCAGAATTCTCTTTTCCTAACACTTTCTCAAAGTAACCAATTCGTTCTTCAGCTATGAGTTTATGGCCTTCAATCTTGCTCCCATCTTCAGCACATAGAACTCTCAAAGCTCTCTTGGAATCCCTCACTTTGACCACCTTGTGAAAGAAGCTTGTGTTCTGATCACCAAGCTTAAGCCACTGAATTCTAGACTTTGTCAGGAAAAAACCCTGCTCCAGCTCCTTAATTTCCAGAAATTAACCACGGCTTCAAACTCAACAGAGAGAGTTGAGTAAATCTTACAAAAGATTCAAAAGTGCTACTTGATTATTTTCTTATAGGTTGTATAATTCAACCTTTTTCTTCTTATAAAAACTGAAAAGGTGAATTTTTGTACTTACCGAGAAAATATGTGGAGAAATTCTCACGGGCAAGGTCTAGAAATGTATAAATATAGTAACTTTTGCAAAAAAATCGAATTTTTCTCCAAATTACGCATTTTATAATCAATTTCATTTCTTATTTGCTTAAAGTTTCATTTGTTTTGATGCACTGTCGTTTAATTTGAAAGTAATATTTGCCTTCTATACGAATAATACTTGGTTTACTCATAATAACTCCGTGGAGGATTTTACAATAGACCACTTGTCAATTATATATACGTGGCCTTAGTCAATTAATTTCAGCCTAGATGGATAATGTTTACTTTATAACAACTAGATCTCGAGCGCAAGCTATGTACTTGCTTGGTTGCTTTCGTGCTCTTTAAAATACACAATCAATATCGTAAAAATGCGTATGCGAATGTGGACATTCAAATCGAGTAATGCGTGAATTATGGAAACTTTTTGCTTGGTAAATTGAATTTTGACGTTTACAGAAAAATATCGTGACGGAAGTATAATGGTATAAATTACAATAATATATTTAAAACAGAAAGATAAAAGGATAAGAAAATCAAGCATTTTCGTAAATATGGGGGTGGACAACAAATTGAAAAGTTTGTTTTATAATTTATTATAGATGAAGTGTTGCTCCATTTTATAATTTTACCACTGATCGAAGTGAGGCATGCTGTAAAAAATCAAGCTGAGCCTACAAGAAGCAGGACTAAAGTTAAACATGAAAATATTGGGGGCCTCAATGGGGTCAATTTAAGTTAGGACTTGGACATGAGGTAAAAAGAAGATTTAAATTTCATTGATAAATTCGACTAAGTATAAAGTCCAGAGAATCGACGAGACTAAAGCTCACTGTAGAGATCGACATATATAAAACCCGAATACTAAAAGGAAAAGTTTAAATGCCTTCCTCGTTCGCGAAACTAGAGGTTTTTTTTTTTTTTGAAGGCGATCAAAGTTAATTTATTTCTTAAGAGACTTAACGTAATGAAACATATATATAGTCATATGCAAACGTAGTTTTGTGACCAATTCGCTTTACGATCGGGTCACATTGTGGTCAATTGACCAATTTTTTTATGCATAGAGATTCTCGTCTTTCTTCTTATATATTCTTGTTTCCCACTAAACATTTTTTATACGGTATATGGAATTTAAGACTTA